GCAAGCCTCTGGGTATTGCTTGTGTGCCTGTACTCCAGATGGGTACCTGTCTATGGCTGATGGTATGTCGACCCTCTGGCTGAAGTGCTTGTGCCTGTGCAGCCCCTTTCTGGGCAGGCCTTTGGTTCGGCTGGTGTGCCTGAGCCTCTGTTCTGGACCACATAGCTGCTCCCGAGGATCTGCTCTCACTTAGGGATGGAATGGCAGGCCTCAGGTGGGAGCACACATACCCGTGCAGATCCTCTCTGGGCTTGAGGTAGTTCTTTAATTATATGCAAAGTATTTCTTCCTATTTTAGTTATTTATTATTATTATTAGCTTCTGAATTATAACAAATACATTTTAAACATCTTTTGGATACATTATATTTTTCTTTTATTATGTTGATACATCAAATTATATACCTAGATTTTCTGCTATTGAGTCATTTCTGCCTTGGTATAATAAATTATTCTTGGGATGATCTTATTCTCTTATACTGAATATTTCATAAATACTTCATGTAACATTTTAAATTATGTGCTTATTAGTAAATTTATAGTAAATTTACAGTAAATTTATTAGTAAATTATGTATTTATTAGTAAATTACAAATTAGTAAGTTTGTGCAGTAAGATTCTAGTATTACATATGTCAGTCACATTCAGTTTAAAATTTTTCTCTAACTCTAATAGAGAAGAAGTAGAGGATGGAGAAAGAAGGAGGAAAAAAAGACAGAGGTGGGAGTGCTCAAAATCTATTATAGATGCCACAACAAAACCCACTATTCTGTATAACTAATAAGCACTAATACATTTTTTCTATGGATTGGATATGTTAAACAACATTACAATGATTTATTCTTACAGGATAGATCAAATCCAATCACAATATTATCAGGTTTAGAATCTATTATTGAGTACAATATGTTGATATTTGGAGTATGACTTCATCTTGGATCTGGGAATATCTATATATACTCTTAAATTTTTATGTAGTTACTGTATTTTAGATAGTACTTTTTTTTGTACTAATTAAATGAAGTCATATTAGTCACTTTTCCATCTCTGGCGCAAAATACCTCACACTCTCAACTTAAAGAAGTAGCGGTTTCTTTGGCTCACAGTTTCTCATGAGTTTAGTTCATAGGTAGCTGTCTCCAAGGCAGAAACTGTGGTAGAGAAAAGCTGCTCAACTCATGGCAGCTAGGAAGCAGAGAAAGTGAGAGGCAGAGTATAGAACAACTTTCCAGCTCACACCCCAGTGACCTGCCTCCTCCAACCGGGAACAATTTAGATCTAACTATAATAGGGATATTGATCTTATAAACACATCTTTTAAAATGTATACTTTTTAAATTTACTTCAGTTTTATTGAAGTAAAACTCATAGCATAGTATGAACTACTATACATTAGTCAGTGGCACTGAGCATTCTCTATGTTTTCTTACCATATGTTGGTCTCATCCCCATGTATTTTTCATTGCCCCAAAGAGAAACTCCAACCCCTAAACAGTTACTTTCTTGGGGCTGGGGGTATAGCTCAGTGGCACCATACCTGCCTTCCAAGTGCAAGGTCCTGAGTTCAATCCCTGGTACCAGGGGGAGAAAAGTTACTTTTTCATCCCCTTTTCCTGTCTCAAAAGATTCTTTTGGAATCACTGTACATAAAATGACCCTGGGACATGTAAAAGGTGGCAGTTGTTGTTACTTCTAGACCTAAATGAAAAAATGGTGGCTAGGCAGGGCCACCACACAGTGAGTTTTACCGTGGTATAGATTCATAGCAAGATTTGTCTGTAGGGCACAGCTTACACGTGGCATGCCACTGGAGTTATCCCCATTTCAGAGGCTTCCTGAGAGTGGCTAAGTTCAATAATTTCAGTAGGCTCTGAGCACATGGGCTGTCCCTACTTGCTTGGGACTTGTTCCTGAGGAGAAGATGATAAGTGTGCAGATGCCCAGGATGTGATAGCCCACTCATTAATGGTGTAGACTTAACCTACTGCGATAACGGTTGTTAGGCCAGGCCTCAATTTTATCTCCACTCTAATCTTTATCGTTCCTTTTCTCCTGCTTTTGAGTTTAGCATTTTCTTCATTGTCTAATTTCATGTTGTATATAATTTGATTATTGATACGAGATCTTTTCTTTAAATGCAAATGTTTACAGCTAAGAATTTCTCTATGAACACTACATCTCGTAAGTGTTGGTAGGCTTTGTTTTAATTTCCTGTATCTAATTCATACGTATGCTAAACTTATGATGCTTTTATTATATTCATTTTGTAAGTGAATAAACTGAGGTGGAAAGGTTAAAAAAAAAAGTACCTAAAATCTGAATTTGTTGGGATTTGTACACACAGACTCATGTTCCAGCCCTGTGGTCTGGAACACTATTCCATCACATTTTTCTACAGTCTGCAAGTATTACCATGTCTCTCTGAGGAGGTATTTGGTCATCTCAGTGTTCTTAAATCTGTTTTTTATTTTTGGGATTTGTCAGTTATGCTCATTTTATAAGCAAAAAGTATGTTTTATTTTTATAAAATATCACTATTCCTCCACCTTATTGCAAATTTTCACATTTTGGCTGCACAATATTTATAACCTTTCTTAATAGTACCTCAATCACATTATGGGAATTACTTTCCCTTGTATTATACACCAGAGTAAATAACTTTTTATCAAGGTTCCTGGCTCCCACCACAGAATCTGAGAAGGCCAGGCTCTCAATCACTCTGACTTCTGGAATAGCTAGAAAGTGGCAGGCTGAATTAAGGCCAGATAAATAGAAGCTCTGATCCAGCAATTTCAGATGCAGTGAGTGCACAGTGATGTGGAAATGCTAGAAATCCAGCTCTTACACTGAAATTGGTTGCACTAGTCAGGGTTTTGAAGAAACAGAAACAAGAGAGGAGAGATGAAGAGAAGAAGGATTTATTTTGAGGAAATTTCTCATATGATTATAGAGGTGCAAGTCCAAAATCTACAGTGTAGACTGACTTGCTAGAGACCCATGGGAAATTTGCAGTTCGAATCCAAAAATAGTTTACTAATGGAATTCCTTTTTGCTTAGAAAAGAACAGTCTTTATTATGTTAAGACCGTAGACTATATGGATGAAGCCTACTCACACCAAGAAGTATTATCAGTTTCACTTTAAATTCACTGATTTAATTGTTAATATTATCTATCTATCTATCATCCATCTTCACTGAAACATCTAGAATGTTGTTGGACCACATACAACTCTCTGGACACTGTGGCCCCACAAAGTTGATATATAAAGTTAACCATCATAGTGGCCTTGGTAGGCTGTACATAAAGTTTGCTATTTCTCTGGCCTGTCTAAATGAATTTTATTTCATTTTCCCATTCCCAAGCCTAGTTTCCAGTTGCCTGTCCAGTCGGCTTTCCTCTGCTTGCATACTCAAGTCCGTTGTCCCATGTCAGAGAAAAACACTCTATGACAGCAAATGGTTGTGAATTTAAACCTATAGGGACAAATGTTTGAAGTATAAAGATAGCAAAGTTGATGAAACTGTGAGATAATATCAGGATAGATTTGTCTAGAGTTCACATAAAAAACTAAATACATTGTTTAAACCAGATTCCAGTTTACTTTTCTCTTATAGGAAGGATACAAATCTCTTGCTTTCTCTTTCAATCCTAACTTGGCCTCATGCTATACAATATAAATTAGAGCTGTAGCCATCATATCTTGGTTGCTAGAAAACCATAAAAGATCCTTCTTTAGAATCAGTTGGCCCATCTCAAAGAACTTTCCTAGAAATCAATTTAATAATTCCTACCTACATCTCATTAAAAAGACAACAAGGAAAGGAAAATTGGTATATATAACCTTTAGCCTCCTGCTTTGCCTTACCACTATGTAGAAATGTGTTTTTAAGGAAGAGCTGGCCTTCTTATACACAGTGGAAAAATGAGAAGCCTCCACCCCTGCCACTACTCTAGTAATGTAAATTGGTAGAGTAATTTGATGTTATCTAATAAAATTGAAATTATGTTTAACTGACTCAGTAAATATCCTATACCTAAGAATACATAGCTAAGAAAAATTCACACACTCATAGAAAGGTGAGTGTTCATGAATGATCATTGTTTATAATCAAAATGGTGGTTTTGTGGCCAAATACTGGAAACAAATGAGATGTCCAAAAGAGAGAAAATGGTAAATAATAATTTGTGAGATATCTGCTTGATGGAACACAACATGTAAAATAACTAAATTATAAATGTAGCTATCAATAGTAGCTTGGTTAAACCGAGATAGATTACAAAACAAGTTGCACAAAGTTACACAATGTTTGATACTGTTTTTATAGTTTTAAAAATAATAAACATCGATTCCGAAGACATCAAGGCATAAAATTATTCATTTTTGTAAAAATGTGAAGTTTTTGATAATGGTTGTCTTTGGCGAAGGTAAGAGGAAAATGGAAATGTAGAGGTGAACACAGAAAATATTAAACAACTTGTTTTATTTACTTTCAAATGACTAAAAATAAATATATAGCAAATTTAAACTTGTTCTTTCTATATAGTTATAGCTTAATTATTTTTCTATTCTATGATTCCCCCAATAGGAGAGGTAAATGTTAACCATTAAAAAGACTGGTTCATTTATATATTTTCAGCAATAATGAAATTGCTGATATATTCTACTTACCCTATTTTCACCTATGACTTTAAAAAATATCCAGGTGTTCTGAATCTTCAAACTTTTTATTGGAAGACTCAGATTGACTAAGCATTATCAATCATCCTTAGGTATAAAGGTAAGTGAAGAAGATATAGTTAAAATAGATTGATTTTATAGATTGTATGAATATAGTTTAATAAATTTGATTGTATGTACACAGTGTAATAAATTCTCTGAGAAATAAATGGCAAGTTGATTTTGAGTAAAATGAAAATTTTAAAGACGTGATTTCTTATGGTTGTAATATTTTTGCATAAATAATAATTTGAGAAGCACATTCATTCATTTATTCGTTCACCTCAAGTTTTTTTTGGTAATTCTCCTGCAGAGCTTCCACTTCCTGCCTCTGCTTTGAGTCCAGCAGAGCACCATGATTCTGCATGAAGTCTATGTCTGCTTGAACCTTTGCATTTGCTTCTTCTAGCTTTGTCTATTGTTTCTCCAAATGTTCTAACTGATGATTTCTATCTTCCAGATGCCATCTTAATTCTATAATATCTCTCAAAAAGGCCTCGTGTTCTAGATGTAGAATGATATGAACAAAAGCAAATCAGAATTTGAAACAAAAGCTTCAGAAAAAAATCTTTGATAATAAATATGAGCTATTTTGGTGTCAGAAATTACTTATCTGTGAATCATGCTAAACCTAAAATACAGATTATTTTAATATTTAATTGTAACATATACTGCTTCCTTCATTCATCACCAAAAGGATTAGAATGTTTTATAAATTAATAATAGTTTTAGTATAAATCTTGCTTATTATGATCAATTGATACTGTGATCATTACACAGAGGCACTCAGTAACTACTCCAAAATTGGAAAAATGGGTAGTGGCCTTTCAAAACATCTGGAAGTAAAATGATTAAGTAGGAGTTACAAATATGAGAATGAAAAAGGCAAAAAATGATTTGTAGTGATACAATTATATAATAAAACATACAAAAATGAAAATTATTACAAATAATATGATTGTTCATGCAAAATTAATACACAAAATAAATGTTTACATAAGGACTATGTTGAAAACAAAATAATCCAACAACTATGAAACTGTAACATAAATAAGCTGCATAAATATATTAATAATTCTAATGAACCACGACTGGCCTGTAAGAAGAAAACAACAAATTACTGTCAAAAAACTCAAAAAATAAATTTGAATACATGGAAAATATTATTTTTTCCATACAAATATGTTTGAAATTTTAAACTTGGAAATTTCCATCAGTTCCTTTAATTTCCTTTAAAATTTAATCACATTTCCTCAAATGGCCAAGAGAACTTCAGACAAATTAGATAAAGAGATTTTCTCATTATACCAACTTTGTAACTATTCTTTAATTCATTCTTTGAATAAAACATGACTGGGCTGACTTTTTAAAAATCTTTTTGAATAAATTTCTTGAAAGAATTTTCCAGTGTTATCACTTAGGAACCTTCTTACATTTATATTCATGATTAAAGCCTGCATTTTTTTTTCATATTTTTACTATTTTCATCTAAGTTTGGCTAATAATTTATGCTATTTATCAGTTTCCATGTTTTTTTTTTCTTTTTTTCTGGGATTTTGTGGAAGTTTTAAATTATACATAAACTCCTATTTCTCAAGAATGTATCAATGTATGTATGTATGTGTCTTAGTTACTTTTCATGTTGCTAAGACAAAATACCCAACAACCGAAAGTTAAAGGAGGAAAAGTTTATTTCACCTTAGTTTGTAGAGGTTTCATTCAGTCCATAGTCAGCTGGCTCCAAGGCAAGTTGACGTGACAGAAGACTATCATAGAAGAGAAACAGTTCATGGTGGACAGAAGACAGGAAAGCAGCAAAGTAACAAAAAAGCAATGATAAGGACCAATGACTGCCTTCTTTGTGTCCCTCATATTCCAGCCAGGCTACCCACCTTTAGGGAGGGAAACATTCAAACAAAGTGGGACACCCTTAATACTAGTCTCACACAATGAATCAATTCCAGCATCACATCCTTAATCTCATCTCAGCATCACACATTCTAGATTCAGCCACCTCCCAGAACTCCCATTAATGCCACATGAGGCTTTGTGGGGACATATAGATACAAACTAGAAGTGGAGCACACTTCTGGGTGTGCCTGTGTGGGCCATCCAGGTGTCACACTTGACTATTATATCTGGTCCCTCACCTTTTTCTCTCTGGTGCTGCTCCCATGTTCTGCTTGGGGACTGCCACAAACTGAGTAGCCTTGTCCACCATGCTCTTCCCCCGTGAAGTTCCTGCCTTGAACACATCCAATTGTGAACTGAATCCTCTGAAACCATGAGCCAAATTAAACTTCTCCTGGGTTTATTTTGCTATTTTGGGCCAGCAATGAGAAAGTTGACTAATATAGTGTTGTATCTTTGATTCTGAATTTGATTCATCTCCATTTTTACCATTATATTTTCATGTTTTCTTTCACTATTCTTTTTTAAATGAGGTAACATTAGCTTTTGAATCTTCTAAAATATATTTTTCATTTTGCAATTATTTTCTTTTTCTTTGTATTTTACTTTCAATTTTATAAATTCTACAATTATAATTTTTGAATTAATTAATTATGAGTCCCAATTTTTGATGTAAAAAAAGATATTGCTTTGTTTCTAAGGAATGATTTGGCTTTTTCTCATACATATGAATATAATTTTAATGATAAATTTTAAGAATATATTTCTAAATATCTTCTAACTTCTTTTGAGTAGGTGCAGTGTTTGTTACCATCACTTTCTTACTTTTGTTTACCTTCACTAACCAGACAGCAATTCATTTAGAGTTTGTTGTTATGTTTTTAAACATAAATTTAAATGATAATCTTTCATTAGATATTTATTATGCCCTCTCATTTTATATTCCATGCTTTAAAATATTTCATTTACCTACTCTGATGCATTTTATACAATTTCTTCAAATTTTAGTTATTACTTTCTGTGTTGGATAAACAATATACCTATTGACTCTTTGAGTTAAAATAATATTTTTTGTTTGTTTCCATTTTTGCTTTCTTTAAAAAATGGTTTCATAACCACCCCCACCACCCCGGGACTACTGTGAGGAGGCCCCCACTGACCCAGACCACTCGCTAAGCCCATAAGGTCCATTGTTATGAGCTCCAGAAGATAGAGCAGCAGTGAGCAGCAGAGAGAGGGTCTCGCTGAGGCTCCTTGATGAAAATTGAAGCCCACTTGGAAAGTGAAGAAAGGCTCTGTAATAAAGGTGTACAGGACTATACCAGATGGTGAGTTGGTGGGATCAGCACCTTCCACCAGAACCTGGTCTTGCTTCAGGAGAAGAGCAGCTCAAACCTGCAGAAGAACCTGGCAGAGTTCAAACCCCCAGGAGATCAGGGAGCTCAACTTGGGGCCTGCAGCCAAAAACCAGCCTGAATCTCAGTGGACTACAGCTGGTTTGCTGAGACTAATTGACTTAGATCTGCATGCTGCTGCCCACATTGGCTACCTTGACAGCAGAGACATACCCTGAAGGAGGCCTTTTTCTTTCTTCTTCCTCCTCCTCCTCCCCCTCCTCCTCCTCCTCCTCTGTACTTTCTTGTTCCTGTTCCTGTCCTATTTTGGATTCTTTTCTCTTTTCTTCTTTTGATTGTTCTTATTTTTATAGGTGAGTGAATACGGTTTCTAGTTTTCCTGTTGCTCTTTTTTATGTCCTTGTTTTTGTTCCTTCCTTCTATCTTTTCCTCCTGTCTTCATCAGTTTCCTAAAGTTTGCATGATCTTCCTGTATTCTCTGGTCTCACTTCTAACCCTTCTCTCTCCTTCTATATTTCTAGTACCCGCCCCCCAACACTTTCTAAGTCCTCATGAAGGAGGGTAAATTTGCAATATAGAAGGGCTTATTTACTGAAAAATTATTTTGGCCTGATCCTTGTTTTTTATCTAGTTCATGCAGTTAAAGGTGACAGATTAATAGTTATCACAACTTCTCATTTTTATTATTTATTTATTTTTGTGGTTTTTGGGGGGGTTTTTTTGTTTGGTACTGGGGATCAAACTCTGGTCCTTCTCTTGTGAGGCAGGTGGTGGAACCACTGAGCTAAGTCCCCGGCCCCCTAAATAATTTAATTTTTTAATTTTTAATTTTTTTGGTACCGGGGATCGAACTTGGGTCCTTGTGCTTGTGCAACAGGCAGCGCAACCACTGAGCTAAATCCCCGGCCCTCACAACTTCTCATTTTTAAAGCTGTGTTTGATGCAATCACCGATGCTGATTGTATTACTTGGGTCGAGGTGTCATGATTGTTCTAATCAGTTGTCCTTCCATGTACACCAAAACTGAGATTGCCTAAGAGTCATTAGAAATTCAAAACCTAAAGACAAGGTATACCTAGAAGACACCATTGAGAAATAATCATTCCTTAAGAGTTCTAAGCACTAACAATAAAGATACAATAACCAATATAGAGGTATCAACCCAGGAATTAAACCAGAAACATCAACAACAACAAAATAGAAATGAGAAGACACCTAAACAAGACACAAATCCAAACTTCCAACTTACTAAAGGCAATTTTTGGGACCAGTTAGGTGGAAAAATATGATAACCACCTGGACATCCTGAATTGATAATATGGGAAGTAACAAAAGAGATGAAAAAGTCTTTAGAAAAAAAAATCAAAACAGAAATAATTTCCCAGACAACTACAGAGATGGTGAGCAGAATGAAAGACATGATTAGAGACTTTAGAACAGAAACATACAAAAAATAGATGAGTTCAGGACCATGATAGAAGCCATGAATGCCCAGCATAGAAAAGAAATGGAAACCATGAATGCCCAGTATAGGAAAGAAATAGAATTCATGAAACACATTCAAACAGATATCCAAGAGATTAAAAATTCCATTGAAAGCATTCCCAGCAGAATGATCCAGTGTGAGAACAGAATATCAGATATAGAAGGCAGGATTGCAGGTAGTGACTATGAAAAGAGAGATTTCTTAACAATAGTAAAGGACAAGTACCAGGAATTTAGCTCAGTGGTTTTGCCACCTGCTGCACAAGCGCAAGGACCCAAGTTTGATCCCCAGTACCAAAAAAAAAACCCCAAAATTGTAAAGGACCATGAGAAATTGCTACAGCAGCTGCTAGATGATGCAAAGCATAATAACATAAGACAGATTGGAGTTGATGAAAAAGCAGGAGAAAGTGAAAATGATATAAAAATATTCACAGAATTAATGACAGAAAACTTTCCAAACAAAGGAAAAGAATTTGACATACAGATAAGTGAGGCATATAG